TTTGTGATGTCAAATTTAACGCATACAACGCTTCGAGTGCAGGCAACTCGGCTCATTTTTTATGATTTTTAGCACCACCGTCCATTAGTTTTTTCCTCTGCAACCACCAAAAGAGGCAGCTACCGGCAGTCCTGTCAACGAATAGCTTGTACTGCCACAAGCTACCAAGGATTTCATAGACGGTGGATGGGGAGGAGCTTTTATTTTTTGGGATTTTAAGTCCTGCCGAAAATTCCAGAATAGCCCATGTCAAAGATGTCTTCGGAAACTTCACTATCGTATATTATCTTGTTCAGGTTTGCGAGCTGGATATTATTTTCAACTTTGAAAAGGCATATTTCATATTGGACGAATTCTTATTAGCCGGTGAAATACAGGAAACCAGTAAAAAGCAAGTGCTCAAAGCGATCGCTGCGCAGGACTTGATACAGGAGGTCTGTCTCTTTGCAATTGTACTTAAATTTCTCGTAATTTGGAAGAAAATAGCATAGGAAGTAGCATAATTTGCATGGAATTCAATTAGTTTTGCGGCGTTGTTTTCACAGAAATGGCAGGACGAGTTGTTTATGCTGTAAAGGCGCTTAATTGTCAGAGAATTTCTGTGTATGTATCTCACAAAGAAATATTAGTTGGTTTAGAAAGTATTTCTCTCTCATTTCGGGGTAAGTTTGCTTAAAGTACCCACTTGAAACATTTTCGTTCGTCATCATTTTCGAGAACTACTTCGAAATAAGCCTATGCTACAGTACCTTACTGATGTTACTGTAGATGATACGGTAATTTTGACTTTCTGGCATGCTACAGTACCTCACTTGCAAAGTCTAATTCTTGACCCTTAATGGAGTAGCAGTGCTAACTGCCACTACGCTATGTCTGGAGGACAGCTTTAATTAACGTGCTGATCCTAAAATTCGAAATTGGTACTTTCAGGAAGAAACGCCGCAAGGGTTTTTTGAAGATCACGGTCTTGGATGAAAGTGAACTATATCGAGAAAAATACATTCACTGCCTGCCGGCTTTACTATCGTGAAAAGCGAATTCATGGTATCACCAGGCGCCACCTGACATATATTTGGATAAGTGAAAGAATTGCTTTTCAGAAGCACTTTTTGATGGCAGCTCTTTCACTGTGATAATGTTTACACTGTAAAATTGCTTATTTTTATGTTTTCTGTTCTTTGTAGGTTTTTTAATGTGAAGGAGAGAAAACTGGCACAAAATATACGAAAATGCCAAAATCCTGCAATTATTTATTGCATTTCGAGGGAGTTTTCCTATGAAACAAGTGTAAGGACCACTAGCAGTAGACTGACCATCGGGTGACACAATACTGGTCAAAGCAACTGAAAAAATTTTGAATTACAGCTGTTCGAAGTTTTTATATATAAATATGTCAGTCTTAGGCGTACCGTTGCTTTGTTCCGGTAGACGATAGGTGCGATTTCTAGGATAAAAGCTGAGGGAATTACGCTTTTTTTTTGGAAGGATATAGCGTGAAATCAACATTCGATGGCGTTCAGCTGAATGCTTTTGTAAACGGAAGAGTTCATGGGAGCTAATATGAGATTTCCGGAAGTATCAAAAATGGAAGGCGGCAGACATAACACTTTTTTCCACTGCCCTCATATATTGATTAGGAGGAACACGAGGCGGGGGTTGCTGTGCTGCCTTTGTAGATGAGATTTTGTGAACTGAGCTGGCAAGAGACTAGACAACATTCATTATTGATACTTATTTTACGAGTATTACCGACACCGAGGGCTGCAGCATGTTGCAGGAGCTTAGCAGACGAAGTAGGCCGCCAGATCAGCCTACTGAAAACGGGGAAACGCGAATGCCCGTGAGGCCAGATTCTGGATGGTTTGACTTGGAAAAAGTTGATAATTACGCTTTTCGGAGGGGAGGCAAATTTGCATCACATTCGGTGGCTGGAGATTGCAGCCTGAGCAATCATCGGTTGGCGCAAATTCCACATAATCGTAAACATCCTTGAATTGTTAGAATAGGAGAACTGTACCCGAAAGCTCCGTAAAACTGTCCTGATGATGAAGAATGGCATATGGATGCGAAGTGTAGATAATGCGGAATATCTGTGCGTGACCATATAAACAATCAGACTCTCCGTTAGATGAGGGTCGTGGAGGATATCTTTGAGATTGTGAGAGAAAGTAAAATCGTTGGGGTGCCATTTTTGGTCGGAATGCTGGTGTTTTGTAATTCAAGTGGTATTTGCGTTATTTTACCAATTCGTTATTTGCCGTCGATATTATCCTGCGGAATATTCGAATAAAGGCATCGGTTCAATATTCGGGTCGTTTATGAACGTCGAAAACACGTTCTTGAAATACATTTCCAGGGAAAGAGGTCTTGGGTTCACAGCTTTTGGGAGACAAAAGGCTCTCGATGGCTTCAAGTTTTGCCGTTTGTGGCACTGGAATCGCTCATTTAGGTTCGTGGAGTAGCGAGAATTGTCCGCTTTGATGTTTTGAGCGTCAGGATTGTTCGTTTCATCGATCACTTGGCTTTGTTGATGTGGTCTGCTTTGCTGCTCAGTGAGCGTCGAAGTAAATTATGCCGTTAGAAGGCCAAATCGTAATGTTAAAATAGCGGATGATCCAAACGAATCGAAATATGAGACGGCCAGAATTAGAAAGTTAAAACGAAGGGTGGGATAAGTTTGTTAAAATATTTTTTGCGGCAGTTGGTAGGCTGAATCGTAGTCTTTAAAACAAGTGGATAGTCCGGAGCATCAAGAACGCGGAGCTGCCATAGCGCGTAAATTTTAACCTCAGGTGGGGTTAGTTTAAAGTTATGATGGGAAAGATAGTAGGACTGCTCATGTGGCACAAACCGTTCTCAGTTTGAGTCCAGATGGTGTCTATTCGGGTAGGTGAAGATGAGAAAAATTGAATATACGGGGGAGACTTCGGTCCAGCTCGAAGGTGCCAAGTTGTGTTGTGAGAAAGCAGTTGGCTTGTCCACAAAGAACGGAGAAAATCACTGCCTTTTCTGGTAGTACGGGATTGGCGGCAATCATTCGCAGACGTTGCATATCTAGAACAACTGGGATAGGCAGACATTTGAAAGAGTTTGCATCGAAAAAGCGGCTTATTTGTGCATATTTTGGCTTTTTTCACACCGTGTGACGTTATGACTGCCGACTGACTGACCACGGAAAAGCTGCCAGCTGCATAGATGAAGAATCGGTTAGGAACTATAGCTGCACTGGTATTATTATTATTATTCTAGGATATCTTTGTAGCCGAGGAATTTTGGTCCAGCTAATGCAATACTAAGAAATGCTGCTTTCCGCCCTCCGAAGGATTCGGTGTTTCATGCACCAAATGTTAAGAAATGTACACGACTTAATGGACCGAAACACTTCTTACCATTATTATAATAACCTCACAAATTCCTCAATTTTCATTTCTCATCTTTCTTTTCCCTTTTTTTCCTCTTTATTTCATTCCTTATTATAACTTTCTATTTTAAATGCTGGAAAGTCAGAATTTTCGACATTATTCCCAGGATTTAGCAGTAGTAAGGATGCGAAATGTGACGTCGATTGAAACTGGAACTCGAGTTGATGTAAGGGGCAGGCGAGGCACGGTTCGTTATGTTGGTCCGATCGAAGGATATCAGGGCGAATGGATTGGCATCGATTGGGATGATCCGGAGACAGGGAAGCACGATGGCTCGGTCAATGGGAAGCAATACTTCAAAGCACGGTCTGTGATTCGAATCTAAGTATCAGATGAGCTCAGTTGCACCGCTGCTTTCTTCCTTCAGGCACTACTTCTACTGGTTTTCATTAATCAAATCAAAATTCGACTGTGTTCCTCTCCACGGTTGTGGGCCGGTAAAGCCCAGAAAACTGCATATGTTAATGCACAAACACGATTTCAGACCCCCGTCTTCTTCCAGTTTCCCAGCCAGGGATATTCTCACTGTTTATATCTTTAAAATTTCTACAACACTTAACCAGTTGACCCAAAACACCAGAACTGCATCCTCGCCGGTGTTCCATCCCTTTACGTCTCTCCAAACTTTCATTATGGCTTTGATCATGTGCATCTACCCAGTATGTACAACCATTTGTAGTCTTAAACGGCTCATAATCTCTCATTTCCGCTCCCCTCCCACCCGCCTTCCCCACCCCCCGCCTCCATTTCTTAATCCTTCACTTTAAAAGTGTTCCATTTTAGGGGCTGTTTGTTCTTTTCTAAGTCAGTTGACAAAGTGCATGTATAGCCGAAGTTGGTGAAGCGGAGGAGTTTTTTTTGACGAAGCTTCGAGGTATGGTAGGGAAGAGGAGAGGGAGTTTTGGGGGGGGGGGGGGG